CGACGCTCTTCCGATATGTGATTTTTAACTTGTTCTTTTTTTATTTTATCTGCTAAACCTACCCCCTTCCCATTAGCATTCACTATGTTAGGCATTCCTTCAGACTTCTCGGTGAAGACCGAAACAAAGAAGTCATTAAGCATGTCTGCCATTTCCAAATTTCCTGTTACTGTTTCTCCCTCTTCACTAAGCAGTGGGTCTACCCTGTCTTTGGTCTTCCTCTTGCTTCTAATGTATTGATAAAAAGTCTTCTTGTTTCCCTTTATTCCTGTAGCTAGTTTGAGCTCATTTTGTGCCTTTGCCTTTCTAATCTTGCCCCTGCATTCCTGTGTTGTTTGCCTATATTCATCCTTTGTAATCTGTCCTAGTTTCCATTTTTTATATGTACATGTATCCATCAGTAGCAGCAATTGAATCTATTCTTGAATTCTTTAATTAAATCATTCGGGATTGTCTATATTCTCCTTTGAAAGTTCACCTAACAGCTATAGCTGTCCGTAATGTGTTGGTAGATAAATCAATCTTTGCACATAATACATTTAGGGAATTTATGAAAGGACTTGTCAGTATGTATCCATGCATAAAAGTTTCAGTCCCCATCCTGGGATCTCCAATTAGTCCTTACTCAGACTTCCTTTGAGGCCATGGCAGAGTGTTCTTTGTTCTACTTGTCTATCAAAATGGCTTTTGTCATAGCCGTGACGTCACCTAGACAAATGAGTGGATTAGATGCTTGCCTGGTGTATCCTTCATTCACTGTCTTCCAGAGGATACAGTGGTGCATTGCTCTAATCCTAGTTTTCTTCCCAAGGTGGTGTGTGACTTTCACCTTAATCAAACGATTAATTATCCAGTGTCTTTTTCCTAGACCTCGTACTCATGTAGACAAGACAGAGCTGCATACTTTGGATGCTAAAAGGCTTAGTGTCTTAACAGTGTCTTCATTTCATATGCTGATAACTGTATGGGGCACGCTGTCTAATTGGGTTAGGCAGTGCAAGCAGGAGCGCTATGAACTAGTATCCATTCCTTTCCCGGGGGGGGGCGGGGGTTAGATTACACTCTACTAGAGCAATGGCAGCCTTCGTAGCACACCTTAGACATGTTCAAATTGCGAAGATCTGTCAAGCTGCAACTTGGAGCTCTGTACACTTACAAAACACTACTCCCTAGACTTAGCATCTCAATGGAATGTGCAATTTGGAAGAGTGTTACTTTGATCCCTAATCAGTTAGGACCCCAAATCATACCTTCCTTACAGGAGGTGCTGCTTATCAAACTACCTCATGAGTGGGAATATCCAGAGGATACTAAAAGAAGAAATGAAGATTAATTACCTGTAATGAGAATTCTTTGAGATGGACTCTGCATTGTCACACTCCCTGCCCACCTTCTCCTCTTTCTCAGAATCTCCCTGAGTCTGAAGAGGAAGTGGAGGGAACAGAGGTGGCGGAGGGCGTCAAGCCCCCTTTCATAGCCTCAGCCTTGGAATGTTCCAGAACGCAGAGGGGAGTGGTGGTGGGGTACATGATGCTCTCATTTGGCATTGCTCTGAGCAGGTTTTCCTGAGGTGTATCCACTGGCACATCCCCAGTAGCGTGAATATGCAGAGTCTCTCTGAAAGAACTCTGTTACGGATAAGTAACCTTCATATTCCTGTGGGAAATACAGCGTGTATCGTAGGGAACAATTCTATAGGGAGAATGATTAGGTCTAAGAGATCTCTTCCATCTTTAAGGCTTTTTCCAGTATAGAAAGATGCACTCTTTTTAACTAAATAGATGTAAAAATCAGTCTACTTAAACCAGTGCAAACCCATAATCCTAGCTGTATTTAAACCTGTTTAACCCTTTCTTAAATTGGTAATGTATTGATACAGCTGTATCGGGGTTTGCACAAATTGAACTAGCTCAACTGTTAAATCAGTTTCATTAAACAACTGCATTTTTCTAGTATATACAAGGCCTTGTGTACTAATCTAATGGGAATCTATTATTTCTCCAATGGCACTTACCTTTATACTGTAGTTTGCCAAGTTCCTCATACTGGCATAGTTTAAAACTCAAATCAGAATTTTGTAGAACTCCACTTGTTTGTACTTTTTTTTTTTACTAGTAGAGGCGTACAGTAATGTCAGTAAGTGAACCTTACCTTTGGAAAGGTGAAGGATAAATAAATAGACGCATCATTTACCACAAATCTATTTTTCAAAGGTGGTTTATTTACAGTTTTAGGTAGTGATTTGAGGGGAGTCTGTGCTCTATGTAGAACAGAGAACACCAGTCCTTTTAACTAATGAAATAGCTGGGCATTTGGGCATAAAGATCCTGCTCTCTAGAACTCCTAATTAAGGCATTGATTGTGCAAGTAGATCCGTGAGGGTGGATCTGTGTGGCATCCTGTTCAAGTGAACAGGATCCCTTGTGGGATCAGAATCTCTCTGCACAGATCTAATTGCAAGACTGGGGCCTGTGTTAACTCCTCAGAGAGCCCTCAGGCTGAGGCTCAAAATTGTTCCCAAGTCTCCTCTCCCAAGTAAGATGAAAAACGAACAAACTTTCAACAAAACAAAAATCTGTTTATTTCACTAGGGGGCAAAAACCTGCACGATAGCAGTAATGTTTGGCTAACCTCAGATGTACATGGGAGACCCTAGATTTCAGATTTGATTGTGTTGAAAGTAAATGCTTTGTATTTGTTTTCTCTACTTAGTGACAGTCCTAATGCTGTTCATGAAGTGGAAAAGTGGTTGCCGCGACTGCATTCAGTTGTCATAGGACCTGGTTTAGGTAGAGATGACGTACTACTTGAGAATGCTAAGGTAATGTATACTCTAGTATTTTGCTCTACATCTTTGTTACTGAATTTTATAAACCAAGTTTGCAGCTTTTGTGCGGCTAAATGAATATTTTTCAGTGGGGTTATTGTGTAATAGTCTTAATGGAGCCATTAAAATATAGTTTGAAAACAACATCTGTAATAGAATTACTGGCTATAAGTGAATCAAAACTGCTTTCAAATGAACTGTCTATAAATGATTTCTTTTTGTTATGACTGGTAGTAGTTAAGATCTGTTGGTCGCTAAGTGTGAGTAACTATAATTTAAAGAGAAAAGTTAAAACTAGCAGTTGCCTAACCTTTGTGGTGAGGGTCATAGATCTTAGGGCTTGTCTACGTGGCAAGTTGGTGCATGGCAAGCCACGGTGAGAATCTACAGCGCACTAGACCGCTGCACATTAACTCACTGTATGGACTCTGCTACCACACAGTAACAGTTACGAAGTACACTTGGATGTACTCCCCTTTCAAATGGGAGGCAAACTTGTACACTGTGGATTCATCCTTTGACTTGCTGCTAGCTTGCCATATAGACAAGCCCTAAGTTGTATTTTCACCATCAGAAACTCCGAGTGAGGCATGAAGCTCATGCATCCAGGTGGTTATTTTGATCACTTTCATTTTGATGGTAAATCTGTAAAAACAAAGGCCAACATTTTCTAATGCAGGTGTCTAAAGTTAAGCACCTAACTCCTTATTTAGGCTCCTAACTTTAGGCACCTGTGTTAGAAAATGTTGTCCCCAACCTCCTCTTCTCCCCCTCCCCCCCCCTTTTTTTTTTAAACAGATTCACCACCAAAATGGAAATGATCAAAAATAATCATTGAAATGCTTAAGCTTCAACTCGCTTTAGGCACCCAGGTTTGAAAACTTTTTGCCAAGAACAACATCAGTAAGCAAATGTGTACTCACACATTGGAGGAGTTGCTATTCAATATAATAAATATAAACTTCCTATTCTAGTTGAAGCAATATTCTTGCTTGTTTCATATCTTAGTGAAAAGTTTAAAAAAGAGTATTTGTTCCTGTCTGTGTAGAGAGATATTTAATCTATTACACAGTTATTGCTGTCATATGTCAACACACCAAAGTTACAGGTTTCAGAGTAGCAGCCGTGTTAGTCTGTATCCGCAAAAAGAACAGGAGTACTTGTGGCACCTTAGAGACTAACAAATTTATTAGAGCGTAAGCTTTCGCTGACTACAGCCCACTTCTTCGGATGCATACGCATACGCATCCGAAGAAGTGGGCTGTAGTCCACGAAAGCTTATGCTCTAATAAATTTGTTAGTCTCTAAGGTGCCACAAGTACTCCTGTTCTTATTATAGCTGTTGTCACCATAACCTTTGTATACTGGAAGAAAAATACCACAGTAAACGACACATATCCTGTACTACTTAAGGCCATTTCTTTTTTGTAAAGTGCATATAAGGGCCAGGTAATGCTGCAATAGTTCCATCTATACATTTCTGATGCTCTCATAACCATGGTATCTATGTGCCATGCAGGAAACTAAATAAATAAAAAAAAAGAGTAGTCTAATAAGGTATCCTTGGTTTTATCACTGTTTGAATTACCATTGCTTCAATTACATACTGAAAGTTTTCTCCTTTGCCTTTTTTGTTCTCTCTCCTATGAAAACATTTCCCCCCGCCCCCAACCCCCCGGGTTCACCCTCCAAGGAAAGCCTTCTGCCAAAGAATCAGTCTTGTACTGTGTTCTGATCAGGGCCAGCTCCAGGCACCAGCCGAGCAAGCTGGTGCTTGGGACGGCACTTGTAGGAGGTGGCATTCCGCCCAATCCTAGGGCGGCACGGCCGCTTTTTTTTTGTGTGTGTGTGGTGTTCCGCTCCAGCCACCCTGTAGGGGGCGGCGCAGAGGACAGGAGCGCCCTGCAGCAAGCCCAGCAGGGAAGCCCGTGTCCTTCCCT